TTCAATTATACTTTAGTAATATTTTCAAGCACATACATACATACATCTTTACGCGCAATATTGTAGTCAAAAGATTTCATATTTGTGGTTTTATACACTTATTGTCGGTAATAAGTGTATACAAAAATCACTTATTGTCGGTAAATATTAGTCACCGCTTTTTTTTTAAGTGTTTTAAATTCCTGTCATTTCCACAACACATTATTGCAACTGTAACACAACCTTAATTTTAATTTTCATTATTTCTTATTCTTATAATTTTTTTTCTTTTTCATTTTCTTATTCTTCTTGTTTTTTTACAATATTTTGAAAGGAAGTCAAAGTAAATTATGTTAAATCAATGAACTTTCTGCTGTAATTTCAAATAAATAAACATCATGATTGAAAAAACACAAATCAGGATAAAAGTGAAACAAAAAAAAAACAAAAAAAAACAAAAAATATAAAAACATATTGAAACGAAAAAAACAATCGATTCATGGATATGCACTTAAGATCCATAAAAAATAATCGATTATAAATAAAGAGATGAAAAAAAAAACGAAAAATAAAAAAATATTTAAAAAAAAAACAGTGTATATTAAGAGATGTTGGATTATGTAACAGTACAAATAACGGAATAATGTAAATAAATAAAAATTACGATTAAAAACAGAATTATTATGGACAATTTTTAAGTAATTTTTTTTGTTTTTTTTTTTTGTATTTTCAAATTGTGAATGGTTATGGGAGATCCTAATAATTTATAAGATTTACCAAATTTAAAGGAATATAAAAGGAGTACATATTATGAAAATAACAGAATTTTTATATTTATTATATTGTATACATAAATATGCCTAAGCTATAATATGTATACTTATGCACATACATAAATACAATATAATTTTAACGTGTTGATAAATGAGAAAGCGGCAATCTGTAAATTTATTTAATATGTATACGTTATTCATACCTATACTATTTATGAATAACATACATTCATATAAAATTATATACAAAATTTACTTGTATTATATACAGCAAAGTATTGTATAAAAGAACCGGATCATACTGTATCAGAGCACTAGGGAAACATATTTGCAATAATTTTTTTTTTCAATTAATTCAAAAAGAAATTGTATGTATATTATTTATTTTTTTTTAAAACAAAGAAATACTTTACAGGTTCAAATAAGATATTAATGCATCCTTATTAATTGTATTTACCATAAAATAATAAAATTAATAATACATACTTAAACAACGAGCCATTCAGTAATAAGTATCACAACATATGCAATCGCTTAAGACATTAAAAATGGGAAAAATTTTAGTTTAGAACTCTATAGGTGTCGAATCTAAAAGGTGTTTAATATATAGAGACGCTTTACCAAACTTTCACGAAATTTCAACTTGTTTTGTTTATAGCTTCCGTTCCGAAAAAGAAAGTAAGCTTACAAACAAAAAGTTTTTTGAAAGGGCTAGTGTGAAGGGGTTAAAATCAATACGTTTTTTTATATTTTATGTATTTTCCGAAACATAACCATTCGAACGACTATTAAAAAAATTCCAATTTTTTTCATTTTGTATTTTTTTAAGTTTAATTAAAAAAACTGTTAATAGTAAAGACTATATAGGACAAAAATCAATTCTATGACAAGATTCTAAACGGCATAACAAAATGTAGGAACTCAAAATATTGTCACTGTATTTGATTTTTCTTGCTGCAACTATCAACTATTATCAATTTTTGGTCGAAATAATCACTAAATTTTAAAGAAATATTCCTATTGTTTTAGTTTTTTTTTTGAAGTTTTAACTACTACCATACTATACTATTATAAATTGTACTATAGTTAGTATATAAGTTCGGTATATACCTAAGAATTAAAAATAACAAGTTGTTTTGGTATCTTTTATACAAGCCATTTTTTGTGACTTGATTTTTTTTGTACACTTAAATATAAAAAAGAATTTTTTAAACTTTGAATTAGATATTGATTAGAAAATTAAATAAATACCGCCTTTTATTCGTTTTTCTTTTTCCAATTTATTACTTTCCCTTATTAAAAATTTACCTAATTATAGTAACGAAATCATACACATACATGTAAATTAATGCCATTATGTACAGTTAAATATGTATACACTAGTATATAGCAAGCTTATTAACTCTATTATTATCATTATAATTTTTACTGAAACTATGCTGAGTGGGTATATACATACACACATTATGCACGTATATACGTGCATTTGCATGAATTAATGCATTTTTAGTGATTAATAAAAAAATTCAAATAAATAAATTTTTGATGAGCTTAATTATTAATTTTTGATTAACATTTTGTAATTATCGTAATTTTATAACCTTAAACAAAGTACTAAAATCCAACAAAACTATGAAATATTTTTACATAGTGCTAGATCATAAAATATAAAAAAAAAAAGTATTTCTTCTTACAATTATAATCAAAATTAAAAAGTAGTAAAAACAACAGGTTCTATGGTGTAATGGTTAGCACTCTGGACTTTGAATCCAGCGATCCGAGTTCAAATCTCGGTAGAACCTTTATAAATTTGCTTTCTTTACGAAATTTATTTCCAGTAAAACAATTAAGCAAGTTTTTTTTTATCCCAAAAAAATTAAAATTTCTTTGTTCCATTTTACTTTTATATTTAAATCACAGCAAATTCAAGGGTATCTTAATGTAAAAAAATAAAACTCTCACATAATTTGGTATACATACATATGTACATACATATTTGAATAGAAACGTGTTTGTGTCTATGATATATTTTATATTTTTTAGTTGATCAATTCGGCAAATTATCGTAATCTAATCTAAAGAACAAAAAGAATTTTTTTTAAAGGTAAGAAAAAGCTTTTCGCAATTTTAACGCTAGTGAACTTTTTTTTGCTTTATTTTTAAACAATTTTTTTCTCTTTTTTTCCTTTTTTTATTTTTTCGCTATTATTCTTAATCCTATTTTTTTTTTTGTAGTTTGTTATTGAAATAAAGAGATTTATTTTACATTTAAATCTAGAACGGACGGGGTCAATAAATTTTTTTTTGCAAAAATTTTTCATTAATAAATTGAATAACAAAATTTATTTATATTTATTTGTGCACATTATATATATACACACATTCATACATATAGCTTTATAATTTTCAGAGCTTTGAACCACTAATCGAATATAATAAACGCAATTACTATTAGATTATTCAAATTTGAAGATTTATCTGAATAGATTAGGTGCATATCGTCGGTAAAACTGTGATACCACGTAAGTGCAAATATGTCCAAAAGTACTTTACCAATTTTCTGTTTAGGAAATGTCAAACAATCCATCTTTTAAATTTATGAAAGTATGAAAATTATTTAAAGAATATGTAATTATTTATTAGTTTTTACTGTTTCGTAAATTTTAAAGATGGACTGTTTGAGATTTCATAAACAGAAAATTGATAAAGTACTTTTGGAAATATTTGCACTTACGTGGTATCACAGTTTTGCCGACGATATGTATGTATGTATATGCAAATATCCATATACATTACGCTTCATATATCCATATATAAACTTTCCTAATTAGGTACAAACCCCGATACCTATTGAATGCTTAAGCACACTTTTATATAGGAAGTTTACATAGTATGAATTTCATGTACCTATAAGTCTATAACATTACACATCCCACTTTTGTATTTATTGCGTATTAATTTTGTAATTTCCTTTATAATATACATATGTGTGTATATGTGTGTAATTATGGTCGAAAAAAAAATCTGTTATTTTAAAAAAAGATGTACCTAGGTCGCGCAATTTAATATAAAACCTTAGAACTCAATTCTTAAACGTCGATGTGTATTTTAACAAATAAATAATAAGTGTGTGTGTATGTATGTGCGTGTATAACCAATATATATATACCCAACTACCCACATAAATTCGGAAAGATTTTAAAGTGTAATCAAATTTTAATATATAAAACGTAGAAACAAATAAAAATACAAAACAGAAGTCAAAAAAAAAATGTTATGAGTACCGGAATTCTTTTTTCAAATAGAAGTCAAAAAAAATGTTATGAGTACCAAAATGCCTTTAATTTATGTAACTAAAAATTTAATTAACACTTCATGGTGGATCATGAAGAAATTAATAACTTTCAGGTTAGCTGTAAAATTCATTACGTGCACAGGTGTTTGTGAAATATTACATCATATATATGTACAAACTTATGTATGGGCAAAGGATGAAACAGGCTTCTTATTATTATTATTACCCTTTACTTCGGCACAATATTTTAACCACATAAAGTTACTCATAAAGTTTTAGTTTCCTACAAAATAAATAAAAGCAAAAAATATATTATTTTATTTGAACAAATACATGAACATAAAAATATATAAATTTAAAAAAGAAATAAGTCCGTAATGCATAGCAAATTCGGCAACTTGTCAAGTTCTCTAAAACTGGCGAATTGTCTAATATTTGGTATACGCAACGGCATTCTGGTTTTTGTTGCATTTAGACTCCAGAAAATCTGTATTAACATTCCTGATGGTCCTAACCAGACGATCGATAGACAATTTACATAATGGTCAAGGCCCGAAATCGACCTCAGAGGCGCCTCATACCAGCCACTTCATTTTCTCGGAACCGGCTGTATTCTGTCAATTAAACGAGCGCAATTTTCTTTGAAACTGAAGACGAATGTACAATCGCAAGGTAATTTTACACCTAAGAATTCCTCTTCTAGGGGCCCCAGCAAAGTCTTTCAAATTCTGGAGCAGTTTGAAGTATTGCTATATTCTATACAATATGTATGCATCATTTTTAAATTGTATTTTATTATTTCAGATTGTACGTAACTATTGTGAATAATTGTGAATTTTTTTTTTCGATCAAATTAAAATTTTTGACATTTAGAGCAAAGGGCTTAATTTTGACAGTTATAATATTTGACATCTGTATAACTCGAATTTAATGTGTACATTTTTTATACACTTCCATCATCGTGTTTATGTATTGTTGTGTTTGTTTTAATATAAAAAAGTTGTTTTTGTAATTTTTCATTTAATCTCTATAAAATTATCATTTTTTACATTAAAATTTAAAATTGCACTTTGAATCACTAAGGAATAAAAGGTAATAATAAGATTTGTGCATAAATGGACCATATGCAGGTAAATAGTTTTCAGTATGACCACTCATAATTGGGCGTGCCTAATTTATCCTAAAATCACAACAATTATGTTTTCAGTTAATTAGTTATAAAAACATAAGTTAGATGATTTAGGTTATCTCGCAGGCAGTTTAAAATTTCGACTTGCTGAAAGAAAGAAAGGCATAAAAAATCTTAAATAAGGGTTGGATGATAGATTGTCTTTCTTATCAACAATAAAAAAGTGGAGACAACATAGAGTAAAAACTCTTGAACTTACTGAACTTTGAATTAATTTTTTAATACATTTGTATTAGAGCTTATTTTTGTTTATTTTATTGTGTGACTAGAAAAAACAACACAAAATCTAAATTATTTTATTTTAGCGAAATGGTGGTACTTGAATCTTGTTGGTCTCCCTTTATTTGGACGGATAATGTGAAAACGGGCTCGTTATGCGTTGCTTTTTACACGACAGCGTTATCAGTTGTTCTAACAACTCTGGTAAATTTATTATGAGTTAATTTTTTAAAAAACTATCTAATTCAAAGAAATTGTTCTAAATATTTTTTAGACTTTATATGCGATGTTAGGTGGAGACTCTTCGCAACTGTACTCGCCTCTATTTGAAACTGATATACGACTGTCCATGCAAGTTGTAGGGACCATTTTCATATTTTATTTCTTGATCTTAATTGCTTCATCTGTTGGGGTTTACCACGCAACTAAAATTAATGTAAGAGGATGGTTACTACCTTGGATGATAACTGCAGGAATCGGCATTGCTTTTCAAATCGTTTTCTCTTTATGGTTGATTGGCGGTTACTATATATATGTGAGTATTTTCTTTATAATCTTAAATATCTTATCTTTTTCTCTTCTATATAACTATATTGAAACGGTTTTTTAGCTTGAAGCCACCTTTGCTGCATTAGTAAATTTCTTCTGGACAGCATATCATGTAAGCAATATGAATACAATGTAATTTTTTAGAAATATCTAATACGAATTTTATTTTAGATATATTGTTGGTTATGCGTGATGTCATTATATCAAATATATTTAAAAACTCAAAACCCAAATATAGAGCTATTGATGCCTTAAACATTCTAAAAAATTTTGACAAATTCCATTTTAACTTTAGTTTTAAGATTTATGAGTTATGACAAAGAGCATTTAAACTCGAATATGATATCATTTAAGACGAAATTTTGCTAAGACAAATTTTTTATATATTTATACAAAGTTATATATATTGTAGTAATAATACCGTCCAAAAAAACAAAATATACTTTGAATTTTCATTTGTTTTTGCAGGTAAAATTTAGAAAATTGCCTTAGATTCAAGAGTATGAAACTCCATGTCTGCAAGAGTTTGATTTTTTTTTAATTTATTTATGTAAACAATTCCGCTTGGTTCAATACATATTCCAGTTTTTTAGTTCATGGGCTTTCTATATAATTTGATTTTCGTATTAAGAAATAAAGTAAGATAGCACCAATCAATTTGTATGGTACATACTATCTTTCCATTTCTGCAAATACGAAAATTGAATTATATAGTAAGGCCACTAAAACACTTTCCCGCCAAATGAACAATTTCGGTTTTTGTCAATTAAGTCCTAAGATTGTATGTGAAGGAATTGTCGATAATTCTGGGTCCTAACTTAGATCTTAAAATAAAGAAAGATCAAAATTTTCCGAAATAGTACGTTAAAAAATGACAGTTGTGCTATAAGTTTTGAAGGAATTTTCAAGTTTCCTAGTAGCTACTTCAAAAGTATCATAAATTAGAAACCCATCATAGTAAGAATGTTTATTGAAGAATTAGTTGAGTATATTACAAATCACCAAAAGTAAATTATTCAGTTTCTGCAGATTTGTAAGAATGTATATCTGAAAAGATTTTTAAGAATTAATTTAGAGTTATTAAAAATGCCTTAACTCCTTCAATATTGGAGAGTTATAGGATACCGAAAAGGTAATTTGAAAAGTTTTTAAAGTTTTACTTCAAGTTTTGGAATCTATCAGGAAAATTTTTCAAATTTCATAAATTTTTTTTTATTGTGAACAACGAATTTTGCTATTGTGAATAAAGACTAATTTTCTGTTTACTCTAATCACTCAATTGCTTTATGTAAACGTGATAATAATTTTAATGTCAAATCTCATATTGTTTGTCATAGTTGACAGTTTTCTAAGAGAAAGAAAGGAATATATATTTTTTGTATATCCTTTTCACAAAAATTTCATGCTGCTGCCAAATGAATTGAATTTTCGTGTAGTCTTTCTCGAAATTGAAATGTAAAAAAAAGTTCGTAGTTGAATTGCAATTGCTAGGAGGAAAAAAAATTTAGAAAAGAATTTCTATTCAATAAAAAGCAAAGTGATAGGAATTTTGTAAAATATTAATAACTTAACATTTAGAAATATATTTAGGAAGTTGTTTAACAAATTGAATAAAGATATAAGCTAGTAAAAATGTCAACACCAGCTAGAAGACGTCTCATGAGGGATTTTAAAAGGTAAATATACAAAAAAAAATTACCATATTGGAGATCTAGGATACATAAGTTTTGTAACATTAAAAATTATTTTTTAAAAAGTCAGAATTCATTTGAAAATTTTAATATTTATTATTTTTGATTGACTAAATTAAAAATAAAATGCTAAAGTTATGTATTTTTACACGGTTTTTTTCTATATCCTAATTGAAAAAAAAATTTATTTAATGTAGGTATATACCTATATTTTGGCGATGATGGACATTTAAAAATATATTTGATGATTCATCTATTTTTAGAATTTCTCATTGAAATTATTACAAATATTTATTTTGTGGATAATTATTTCATGCAATTTTCTGGATAATTGCAATCATATGTTGGAAAATTTTCGATATCATCCCATGTCATTGTTACACAAACACCTTTTTTTATAAAAAAAAAAGAAAAAAAAAATCAAAGTGGTTACTTTCTAAGTAGTATATTAGTATACATATAATGTAGAATTAAAGAAACGGAATTAATTTTTATGAGGTTATGTTAAAAATGAATTCCAAAAATATACATAAACACTTGAAAAATTGATGAAAGAAAAACTTTACATATGCCTTTCCACATAATATGCTTTTCTTACGAAATTTTGTAAAAAATTTAACAAAAAGAATGACTAACAAAGTAAAGTAGGTAACTATCTCACAATTATATAGAAATATCTATAATATTACTAATAGATTATGGAATCTTAAACATTTACTTTATTGATGAAATTAGTAAAATCTTAAAGATTATACAAGTAATCATCAATAAACAAAAAATTAATTGAAATGCTTGAAAAATCACAGACTTTAAGGTCATTGCAAGGCAGAAAAAATTGATAACAAATATTTTATTTTTGCTTCTTTTAGTATTACGTACACGATTACAGCTGTCTTTAGGGTTATTGCATTCTAAATCAAATTTAGAGGAAAACTGATAATGTGTCAACCTACCAATGTACTTTATTTTGAAATTCAATAGGGTTCAGTATAATAGGTACCTAACCTATGTTCTTTTTTCAAGTATCATATCTTATTTTTGTCTAAAAAGGACTTAATAGCATAATAATCTAGTTAAATTTGGTTTCTTTTAAAAATTTTGCATTTAATCTACAATTGAAATGTGTTAGTGTTCTTTTTAACTGATTGATATGGATATCCGGGTTGCCATAATAATAAGAGCAAGCATAACATTTCAGTTATTTAGTTCAGATTTTTGAATAACGAAACGTCTTATCCGTATTTTTATTTAGTTTGTAGAACCCCAACAAAGTACATATACAAAATAAATCAATATATGTATGTATGTTGATAGTCATCTGCCTATTTATAAAAAGAAACAAATTTATTTAAAAGGATCCATTAGAAATAAAAATTCTAAGAAATTTTTTAATATTCGTAGTTTGATGTAGGCAGGTGTAGGCATACCTACCTATTCAATTAAGGTTCTTTCAACTTTTTTAAATTCAGCAAAATTGCTTCTCTTTTAATTTTAACAAAAATAAGCTCTAAAAGAATATCATGTATAATTTGTTAAATAATTTCGTGGCGTTTTTCGTCAGTAGGTTGGTGGATAATTTGTTTTCTTTTACATTAAATGGATACGTATCACAAAACTTTAATGTGTGTACCTACATATAGGTACCTACTCAACTATTTATCTTAAGTATACTTGTATGATTAGATTACATATGCATATAAGTTTCTGATATTATAATAGGATATGATTGGCTTTTCAGTTGAAAGAACAAGATATGTATTCTATTTCTACTTATATTAATGTAATAAGTGTGTTGCAATAAACATACGTATGACTACTATTATAGTGTTTATAGAAGATTCAAATAAAATTTTTATATTTTTGAAATATTTGGTAAACAGCCTTGAATGATTACCTACATATAGATATCTTAATTCTATAGATATCTTAATTTTTTAATAGACTATGTATAAGTAATTTATTATTACGTATAGGTAACAGAATTTTTTTGTAACTGAATTTAATGATTTTAACTACAATTTAAATTTGTATTTGAAATGGAAGTGAGGTGTAGAGAGATACACGCAGTACCCCCCAAGGTACAAGAAAAAAAGAATTCATACTTTATTGGAATTATCGTTTATAATTGAAAATACCTTATTTATTTTCTTTGTATAAATAAAATATGAAGGACGCATATTTCAATGGAATTCGAAGAAAAATATTTAAAAATGAAACTTTTAATAAAAATTTCGTAACTATTGCTATATTATATTTTTAGTTTAGAACATTTTGTTAAGGAAATTTCCTCATCGAAAAAAATTTATAAAACAAAGAGAAATGAATATCATTAATATTTTTTTTCTTTTGATTACGAAAGTTTTTATCTATTTGATGTGGAAATCTCGTGATAGTGTACTACTAATCCAATCACAAAGGTACTCGTTGGGAACTAGTCTTTTTGTTACTAAAATTGCAAATCATGAGATACTAAAATTGATAATCATGAAGTTGGCAGAATTGCTGAAAAGAGTCGGCCGAATTGCTGAAAGATCTGCAAACTACTTTCATTCCTAGATATTTTTAAAAATTAAATCTGTAATACTCCAATTCCTGAGAAAGGGTTTGAGAAAAAAAATATTTTAATTATTGTTAAATGAACATATCAGAATTTATTTAACTGATATGCGACATGACCAAATTTTTGTATAATCATGTAGTTTTACAAAAATCAACAGAAATATCTTAATGCGTTCGAGATTTTTCGAGAATAAAATAAATAAAAAAAGTAATTTAATTTGCTTTCTTTCGAGGTCGTAGGAACGCGTGGTACCTATATATTCATATAATAAAATTCGTGAGTAATATATTTTCAATACATCTTTTTGTTTACGATTTAAGTTTATTTCATAAATTAATAATTATTTGATATAATTTATCATTAGTAATGGTTCAATACTTTAAAAAATTTTCTTTGACGCAATGGTTTTCTGGTTAAAAAATTCTATTCAAAGTTTCAATCTATTTAAGTGAAATAAAATATGTGATTATAACTAAAAAATTAAATAATAGTTATTCATCCGAATTACTAACCTATTACAATTTAAAATAAATTTTTGGAAAAGTTTGTAGGTATGAATTATTCCAAAATTTATTTGAAGTTGAATATATTTTATATTATTTAAATATTAAAAAAAATTTATAATAAAGTAATTTTTTACATTGCAAGAAAAATCAATATGAATATTTGAAATCTTGTTTTTCATAGAAAATTTATTTTCAAGGACGAAGACAATTTGTTAACATGAAAAACAAAAGCAATAAGAAATCAAAATCAAATATTTTTTGTCGTTTTTGTTTAAAATTTTATTTTCATGTTTTTCCTTCTTCTACTTTATTAAATATTTTAGTAATAGTACTAAATATTTCAATAAAAATAATTTTCAATTTATTAGTTTATATCATTCAATATTGCCTGACTGACGATATTATTGACAATACGAAATTATTTAAGTATGTTGTATGAATTTTTTATGTTCATTACGTCCAATTTATTGATTTTGAATTCTTCAATTTCCTGTTAAAGCGTCACATGTTTACGTTTTTACATTTTATATTTGAGTTCTTATATATTTATGGTATATATTTTACCATACTACTATACAATTTGGGCATACAAGCTCATATTTATAATTAATTTTATCGAAATTATTTTTTCAATTGTCAAATGGTATTAAATTTTGCATTGAATCAAACTGAATAATATCAATGGTAGATTAGAAATATTAGTAACAAGAAGAAGTAGAAATTTCTAATTGATTTTTTAAATTATGCTTGATTAATCTAAATACCTTAATTTACTATTATATCGGTAATTATCATCCAAATTTACTTACGTACTTGCTATAATAATGTTCAGATATCAAAATTGTAAAATTTTTAAAATTTGTATGAAGTTTACTCATAAAAATATGTTTATAATTTTTACCATTACTTCAAACTTCAAATTAATTTCAATATAATATTATCTTTTTAAGATCTGTACTTTTACTTAAGGCAAAAGATAATCTATTTTCGAAATACTCGTATTATATGCAAAGGCATTTACAAGGAGGCTTAATGTTATATATTAGTAAATTTTGAAATTTCTAACAGAATCAAATGTTTTAAGCCATTTATAGGTTTAGACATTAAGTAACGTTTATAATTAAGATTTATATTATAACGCTTTTGTTAAACTCTTGTCGAAGTTTAAAAAATTAAATGAATTCGGAGAATGGACGGAATGGTTAATCAAGCATTTCACCTAAATGATATCGTAAAAAATGTTTCAAATTGTTATACAAAAACAAGATAGGGTCTACTATGAAAATATTACCAAATTTTTTTATTTTTATTATTGAAAAAAATTTAAATTTTTTATTGTCAATTAAATATATTTAGTTATTTGCTGTTTATAATTTGTGTAATAAATTTTTTTAGTATACGATGGGGGTGCGATTAATTATTAAGTACTCAAATTAATTATTACTTAATAAGTACCCGAAAGAATGTTTAATTAAATTTATGTAAGAAGTAAAATAATTTATTTAAAATATTTTTTATATTAAATTTAAAAAATTTGAATCATTTAATTTAATGGGAATTTTTTAGCAATATTCAGAGCGATGTATGCTAGCTTATTTTTGTTTTAATCGCTGTGAAAAAAGTGAACATTATCTTTATTGTTATAAAACAAAATTAATGTAAGCAAATCCTCTTAATATTATTTAAGTAAATCTTAATGAAAATAACTAATATCATGAAATATTAGAAACAAAATATAGATGAATACCTTTAAATTAATCATTTTGTGAATCAATTAAAAGTTAATACCCCGAAATACCAATGTGTTTTTAATTACATTCGTAAAAACACAAATTTCATAATAATTGAAAAAGTTTGTAAGTATAACAAAAAAAAAAAAATTAAATTTTCATTACGTTTCAAATGCGTTCAGTTGAAAAAAAATATTTCTGCGTTTATTTGCCAGTTAAGTTTTCATCTGATTAAGTTTTTGTTCATGATCATCTGAAAAAGAACTCACAAAATAAACATAAAATAAAAAAAAAATAGATTGTTGGAAAGTTTCCAAATGATAAATTCGACATTATAATAAAATTAATATAAATCATGTGCATGCATATACATATATATATATATGTGATTGTGTTTACATGTTAAAATTATAACAAATGTACATTAAAGAGAAAAAAAAACGTAATGTTTAATGAAAATGATAAATAAACTTTTAGTAGATCCAAAATGAATTCTTCAATGAATATCAAAAATATTTTCTCAAAAAGTAAAAAAAAATTATCCAATGAATTTTATGTTTGCGAAACTAACCGGAACGATTCTAACATTCTTTTAGATCAAAATGAATTTACGTTAAACTGTTTTTATCGTAATATTAAAATTATTTTAAATATACTCAGTTCAAATCTATCGTACGTGATAGGGAAACTAATTAGGGAATAAAAATAATTTTACGGGAAACTTTTCACATTTTACGGTAAACTTATCACATTTCTAGTGGAAAAATTGTGAATTATAAGTAATTATCTTCAAGTATTTGGAGGAGGTTCGTTTTTCTCACCCCGTCTAAATCAAAAATTCATTAGTAATAATAATCTTGGTTTATATTCATAATCAAATAATTAATAATAAGCAAAATTCGTAATATAAACGATTGTATTTAGTTTGTAGAATTTTAGAGAACAAAAGAATTTTTTTGTTAGATGTGCTATTACGTTGATATTACGATGATGTCATTTACATTTTCTATACCAAATTAGTATAAAGCTTTTCTAGAGTAACTGCATATAAAATATGTTTGTAAAGTTATGTAAAATTGGACTTATTTCTACAGAATCTTTTTAGAAAATCATTATTGGAAAATCTTTCAAATCGGTGGTATTTTTATGTCAAAACCAAAGAGATATTTCTTTTTTTTAGAAAAATATTCTTATAAATTTTGTTCATTACTGTGGTACGCTTCATATTTTTAATGCATTTAAATGTTATCTAAATTTTGTATTTATTTTAATTAAATAAAAATAGAAATGGTATTGAATTTACTTTTGTTCTATTTTTAAAATCGAAAGTCATTGTCATTATTGTTCCGATATTTTTTTTTAATATTATTGAAAAATTTTTACATTGATTTTTATGAAGGAAACTTACCTATTTAGTAGCATCCAAATCATAAGAATTAAATTATAAATATTTTGTTTATAAATATTTATAAATTTTTAAATAATTTTTGTATATAGATTATGTGCAATAATTGATATTATGAATGAATAATTTTCTTTTTATGATATTTTAGACTTCAAGAAGATCCACCAACTGGAGTTTCTGGTGCACCAACTGATAATAATATAATGATATGGAATGCTGTGATTTTTGGCCCACATGATACGCCATTTGAAGATGGTACATTTAAGCTAACAATAGAATTTACTGAAGAATATCCAAATAAACCACCAACAGTAAGATTTGTATCTAAAGTATTTCACCCAAATGTTTATGCAGATGGTGGTATCTGTTTGGATATATTACAAAATAGATGGAGTCCTACATATGATGTATCAGCAATTTTAACATCAATACAGGTATTTTAAATTTAATATTTAACTATATTTAAATTTATGATTTAAAGTTGAAAATGTTAATAAATAAAATATAATAGTTTGTCATAAAAATATTTAGAAAAAAAATTTTTTATTTTTATTTTTAGTCTTTATTGAGTGACCCAAATCCAAATTCACCAGCAAATTCAACCGCTGCCCAATTATATAAAGAAAATCGCCGAGAATATGAAAAGCGAGTGAAGGCTTGTGTAGAACAAAGTTTTATCGATTAGCCATTAACTTCTGTAGAGCCAATAACATCAACAAATGTAATTCAATCAATAATAATATCCCAACAGCAACAAGAACAACAAGAAGAACAACCGCCACAACAAGTATCAGAAGAAAGCCAATCTGTTCCACCCTTAACACAAAATTCAAATACAATAGAAATACATGATATTGAAACAATTTTACCATTACTTATTACAAAAGCTGAATTGATTTTAACCAGATTATTAAGAATATTAGAATTTCTACAAAAATTGCAACAATTGCCAATATTTCTTGATATTGTAACACCATCATCAAGTTCATCAACAATGACATCAACAACTACAACAACATCTCTATCACCAATACCAGGAACATCTTCCTCTTCACATTTTATATCACCTGGTATACAAAATCAATCTAATAATGAAGGAAATGCAAGCCAATCTATTTCTTATAGAAATACAAATTTGACAATGGCAGAAGAAAATATAGAGAATACTAATGTTAGAACATCTCAGTCAGATCATATTAAAATGAATGATTTACAGGAAATTAAAAATAATATAAATGAAAATATTAGTAAATTTCAAGATACTAAAAAGAAACTAAGAATAATACTTAATAAAATTTTTCAAATATACATTAGAAGAATGAGTAGCTTATAATCATTTGATAAATGATAAAATCAATAGAAATTGAAAGTAAAAGAGAAATCATATTAAAAGGATAAGTTTAAAAAATTGATACATATATAAATAAATATTTGGAAATTATATGCTCTCATTATTGATTTCTTGAATTAAGATTTTTAAAAAGAATTTTTTTTTTTTAAATACAATATTTAAAATTAAACAGAAAATTAAATACATATATCTACGTTTTCACAAGGAAAACCTAGAATAAAATAATATTAAATACAAAAATTACTTCATAAATATAAAGTGAATTCATTGAAATGAAATATTAATATTTATTTAAAATTTTTTCTCTAGATTTTTCTACAATAAATATAAAATATATTAATTAATATTAGAACAAAAATTACGTTTATATTAAATTTTGAAATGACATAAATTACAAAATAAAAGTTAATTGAAAATAAATCTTCACATTTTTAATTAATATAGGATTATTAGCGATTATCGCTAAAATTTTTATTTGTTCTATTTTAATGCTGCCAAAAAACAAAATGTTTATTTGTAAAGCAATTTATGTAAGCTTACTACAAAAATTGTGTCATCACAATATCACATTGTTTTTTTCGATTGTAATTTCAAAACATTTCTAAACTTTTTTTTTATACATATATTCATAATTCATGTAAATTTTATTAACGTGGATATAATATTTAATTGAAAAACTAAAATTAAATTATAGAAAATTTAAAATTTACTTAACGTTCATAAACATAATGTCTAAAAAACACCCATAACTAAAAGAAAAATCAATAAAATTTATATAAATGCATATTATATAATATATTGTATACATGGAAAATTATAAACAAAATAAGAAAATGCCAATATTAATAAAATAGTATAAAAATTTCTTAGATTAACACACAACAAATTGTTGATTATTTAGCTGTTGTCACCGTTGTAGAACAAAAAGAAAAGTCTTTAAAACTTTTAGTAAAAAAATTAAATATAAAATAAATTATTTTAAAATAAAATAAAATTATAGTGTTCAGTGAAACAGTTTCTGTTTTTTCTTTTTTTTACTAATTTAATTTTTACAAATGCCTTAATTAATTAAGAAGTATTTAAGATTTTAAATTGTTTCATATTTTACAATATTTTCATTTTTAATTATCTGAATCATGTTATAGATATTTTGAAATTTCAAATTTAAAAATTAGAAAATCAAATGAAATTTTTTAAATTATAACTATTAGTGCTTAAAATAATATGGAATACTTTTTTTTTTTAATATCGTTTCACTGAATTTATATATTTGTATATTTTTTTTTAATATCAAAGAAATCAAATTTTTATAACTTTAAGATCATATTTTTTGAATTTTCAATTAGTTTCACACTTTGGCTAGTTTATTTTAACGATTCCAAAAGGGGTGTGGAGCATTGGAAATTAAAAATAAAAAAAAAAAAATACATATTTTATAAATTTACTTTAGTTCTAACTATTATTATTATAAATATTTCAAAATAAATTTTGTTGCTTACAAATTGAATAAATTATTTAAGTTAGATCATTTAGAATTAAATGAATTTCATTTTTAAATTTTTGTCTTATTATTAAGAACATTCTCTAATTGCCTATAGAATTTTCGATGGACCCATGGTTATTATAACACTGTATCGAAATATACTTTATATGCGCAAAGAAAATAATTTTTATAACTCTAAATAAATTTTTATATTTTTTGAATTTTTCAATATTTACCTGTTTAGAAAATTTAGATTTTGGAAAAGTTTTCGAACAGTTTTACAGTAAAAATGGAATTATATATGTAAAGGTCTTTTCCAGTTCTTTATATATCTTATTCAATATATTTTTCGCATTTTTCGCTTATCTACATAAGATTTTGAAATTTCTTAGAGTAGGTATTTTAATTCAACTTTTTATATAACCAAAAAATTTAAAAATTTTTATTAAAAAAAATCTTAAAAAATATATACAAATTTTCCTTATTTTTTTTTTTTTGATTCTTTTCAAAATTTAACATCGTAATAAATAAGATATTAATTTATTAAAATAAAAAACAAAATATTAACATGAAATAAGAATAAATACAATGGTAAAATACTAAACAAAAAAAAAAAATATAAAAACACTGAAAAAAAAAAAGATTAATTAGGACTTAAATTAATAAATAATTATCTGTAATCTGTGTTAGTTGAAAAGTTATACATCTAAAAAATATTAAAAAAAAATTTATAATAAAATAACAAAAAAAAAAAGAAAAACAATTTACTCTCACTTGAACTTTGTATTGTGTTTATACTTTTATGAAAATTGGAAAGGTCTATTTCTAGGCACTGCATACTTATTATTTTTATTAGGATTTTAAGCATAGATACCTATACTTTGTTTGTAAATTAGAGTGAGCTCTTAAAGCACTGTTGTAGATGTACCTTGCGTGTAAATTCATAACTGTTCCCCTTATACGTTTATCCAAAAAAAAAGGCTCAGTAGCTTACTTTTAAAGTAGATTTACTTAAAAAATATTAAAAAGTATATATTTTTACATACTAAATATTATTCAAATTTAATTTTTAGGAGTCTTAAAATTATAAAATTTTAGAATATCCTGTAAAAAAACGTAAGCTGAACGCTTAGCGTTGGCCTAAGTTTTGATAGTTTAATACAATTTTATAAAAGTATAAACAAATATTTATTTAAATCTCAAAGATAAATAACTTAATTAAAATTCCACTAAATTTATAATATAATGGATATTGATTTGAGAAAAGAGAAAAGTAAGCAAAAGTTGAAAGTAATTAATTATTAATAAATATATGTATAAATAAAATTAAGTCATTAAGAAAAAGAAAAATAAAATAAATAAATTTTCTACTTTTTTATATTATTCCCATACACGTACTTGAAAAAAATTTCGTTCCTTTCAATTATAGTTTTCTTTTCCATCTGAAATACTTAATATTTTTTTTTCTATATAATATTGTCTATAACTATTTACTAACTTATAAACACATTTTAGTAATTTCATAAAAAAAAACCTAATTTCTAAAAGTTTTAAATAGATTTTGATCTACTGATTCAAAAATTGTAAAATATGATAATTTATAACTATGTATAGAATTATAAGAATAACTTAGGTTCACTTGCCAGAGCACATGCATATAAGAATGGGTAATGTCAACCATGTGTGTAAATCGAACGAAATAATAGACTTATGTAATCAAAGTCATTAATTATTATGAAGTAAGTCGAGATAGTAGAATATTAAAATTGTAGTAAAGCTTGAATTATTACCTGTTAAATAAATTTAAAACGTTTAAAAGGTCTTATATGCTATGTAAATGATTTGTAGTGAATCTTCCAAATAAATTTATTTATTTTTCGTTTTTAATTTAAATTCTAATATTGTTTTCAAAATAAATTTAAAAATGTTTAAAAAAAAAAAACTATAAAAATGCAAAAGAAATATTTTAATTAGTTGCAATTTTTTTTTTTAGTTTAGAACAAAGATTGTCCACATTTTTCAAGAATCAAAATCGATACACAAAATAAAAAACTCAATGGCAAAAAAAATATATATATATATATATTAATATTACCGTTTATATATTATAAATGTATATTGAGTAGTTGTAAAACTATAATATTAATAAAAATTAAATAATTGTAATTAAAATGAAAATAAAACATATTAATAATAAGAAAAATTATAAGTGAAAATAAAAATTACAAATAATTTAATTAATTGAGTTTTATTTTAATTTATGTGTCTATACCCATAAATATATTTTATATGTAGTTGTTAAGAGTTTTTCAAGTATTGAAAAATTTGTCAAATTCGACTCAATGGATATTTAGTTCTTTCCTTTTAGTGAAACATATCTAGGTGGATAATTATGTGACTTATTTAGCATAAACATTAAAATAAAATGGTGCGATAAATACAAATGTTGACAACCAAGATATTACAAGCTGGTATTTCTATTGCCGTCTTTTTGCTGTAACAGCTTTTATTAATTTGGTACTCTGTTAGGAAAATATTTTTGAACTTGTTCCAAAATCAATACCAAGTCCAATATTAATTAACTGTTGTCGAATTGCTCATTCGATAACGAAAGAAATATAAATTATAAACAGTGTCAGTGAATAGGTTGACTAGGTCACTGCAGCCATAGAGTGCTAAAGCGAATTCTATGTCTTAACTTACTGAATAAGAAGAAATTGGGTGAGCACCGTATATTCTTTTAATGTTAATTTTGTATTCTCTAATTTGCGTGTATTATGTAGGTATAATTGAAATCAATGAGAAATATGATTTTGAAGCGACTAAAAATTAGAATTAAAACAGCATTTTTGGCTCAGTACTAAAGCAAAAGTACAAGTAGTCCTCAACAACTTTTTTTTTCTTTTGTATTGCAAAGGCAGCGTTCCATTCTCTGTAAGATGGAATGGGAATGAACTATTGAACGAGATTGTCAGCTCCCTCAGTTATAATACATGTTTACATTGATTTAATAAACATGCTCATGATTAAATTATTTTATTTCTTTGATTAACAGAACTTTTTGCTTGTCTATAAAAAGTTTTAAATATTTGTTAATCTATTATAGTACGTCGATTGTACTTATTTTAAAATATTTGATAGGTTTACCAGGTACAATTAAGGTTATATAATAAAATATATAGTAATGAGCCTTATTCTAGTTGTCGAAGTAGAGCGACAATTGTCGTCACGACTTGAATTTGATATTCTAAATGGCGATTAAAGTGACACGTGTCGTGGAATAGCGGGAAAATGTGTTTCAGGTATATTCCAGTTGTCGTTGTAGAGCGACACATGTCGTAGTGAAACGACGTTTTTTGTCGAAAAGTATTTAACAAGTGACAAGCGAGATGGATACACCAAAAATGTAAGTTTAAACAAAACAATTTAACAAAATTATAAAAATTAATAAATTTTGTAATTTAATACATAAATTAAACCATATAATAAATATATACACCGATTTTTTTTTTAGCTTAAACTTTACTCGCCAAAATTTCTTTTTAAAATGTATCAATTTTACTTGAAACGTTTCATTTTCGTTTATTTCTCGCAGTCACGTCACTCGACAACTAGAATACCACATTTCAAATGATGTGACAACGACAACGCCATATGTCACGTAAGTGACACGACAACTAGAATAAGGCTCAATAGTTATTAAGAAATCCAAATTAAACAAAATTTTTTATTTATTTTCCTTTTATTATCGCTTTAAATGCATAATAATATTTATACAATTTATTTTATTTTACTAAATATGATATAAATTTTTCATTTTATACTATATAATTACTTTGAAAATAAGAAAACAAAACACTTGGCAAAATTAAATATACTATAAAGAAGTAAAATTTTATAAAGATTATATTATATATAATGTTTTTAATATTACGAAGACTTTTTGATTTATTTGAATTGTTTTCTATATACATATTTTAAATTTATTAATTTTTTGTTCTCTTACATACTGCATTTTATGTACTTAGTAAAAAAATATGTTAAAAAAAATTTTATTGAGGCTATTATAATGAATTATTTTTGTATATGTATTATTTCTATATGTGTATGTTATTTTAATTAAAAAGAAATTAAGAGGATATAATAATGTACAATAAAATTAAGTTGAAAAATCTATGATTAAAAGTAAATTGTTTTATTTAGTATTTTCAATTATATTGAAACTAAAAAACCCATCAGTATATTTTCTATAATATAAAATTTGGTACTCAATATATATATGCCGAATGGTACTCTGTATAATAGTACTAATGAGTTTTTGATTTTAATATAAAAAATATTTTCATTTTAAAAAATAATTATTTAAAATTGTTAAATATTTTTTTGTGATAAATTTAAAACAATCCTAATATTAAAATCAATGGTCTAATTTATTGTGTATGGCAAACTCGTTAACTAGCTGAATACTTTTGAGTTGCTAACATTCGGCAATATGTTTGGCAAAGGGATTTATTCGCTAATTTTTTTACGCGATTCAACAGCATTCTACAATATTGACAATATTTTAAAATTTTATTTTATTACCATAAAAATTCATTTGATTGTCATTTTCATATTTACAATCGTTTTATTTAGTTTCCACAACGAAAACAAATTTGGCAAAAATTTACCGAACATAGCACGCATACAAATTTTTTGACGAATTCGCCGCACATAATAAATAACCCACATAATATAAAGTAATAGGTAATTGTTTTGAAAAATTTCAAATATCAATCAAAAGCTCAATATTGTTGTTTTAATTTTAATCAAAATTATTATTTTTTATTTTGATTATTTTATATGAAAAAATAACATTTTTCATTCTTAAAGAAGAGTTATTGCAATTACAATGGTTTTAGTGGTGGAACTTATTATATTTAATAATAAAAAAGGCAACAATTTTTTAAGTGGAAATTAAATAAAAATTTTAAAATTTGATTTTAAAAATTACAGTAATTTTTGTTTTTTTAAAGTACAACTACAATTGTGATGATAGTAAGCTGTGATTTACAGTAATTTTGTTTGAAAGAATACTGTTATTTTTGAATAAAATGCGTTTTATTATTACATAATATTATTTATTGCATATGTGTACATGTATATATACTCATGTATAAGAGGATTTGTGATAATTTAGACTTGCACTTAAAGTTGTAAACTAAATCTTAAAAACCTTTTTTTTGCATCTTGACAGATCTACACAAATTAACTAATTTTCTTTTTCAGATTTTTAATATCTCCCTTATTTCTATGTGATTTTTTTTTAAAATTAAAATATTTTTGCAACATTAAAAAAAAATTTTAAAAAACGTTTTAGAACCTCATGTATGCTACGATCTTCGAGTGCTCAAAGCGATTTTGTAGTTATTATTTTATCGAACATGGATGGTCTATATTAAAATTTACATAAATTAGAATTAAATTTTCTGAAAATCTCTGAATTTGAATTGGCAGAAGTTTATTGTTTGTATATTTTCATATAAATAAATTTTTTTATTTAAATAAATGATAGGAAAGACAAAAGTCAACAAATTGGAATGATAAAAGGTAATAAGAGATCTAAAATATTCACACTTTCACTACAAGTAAAGTGAGTTTTTTTTGTTATTTTTTCTATAATTTTCGACTTTTAATTTCAATTAATTGAAATTTCGAATAAAATTTTGAAATAATTGAATCTAATTGTCAATTGAAACAAAATTTTAAAATTAATTTAAATATTAAAAAGTGACGTTTTCGATTAATAAAATGAAAATGAAATGAATATTTCGGAATTAGTAGTGATCAAATTATTCTTTATAGAAGAATGTTTATTTTCGATTAAATTTTTGTACTTGATGTTTTTAAAGTAAATTGAGATCAATTCTTTTAATAAACTTCTTTAATTCAAATTTATTTTTATGGTCTATCATATTTAAATAAAATTCTAATTTAATTTCCACTTAAAAGTTTTCATTAAAAGGGTTAATGCAGATTACATGATATTAGAAATTCAAATTTAAAATATTAAATTACTTATAAAAGTTTTACAAAAGTTTTTGGATACATAGTGCAATTTATATACTATATTATATTATAATTTAGTATTTAAGGTTTATTAATAGAAAAAAAAAATAATAATAATAACAATCAAATAATAAATATTACAAAAATTTTCCTAACTATGAAAATTAAGGTTTTTAAAATCTTGTGTTTGAGTTGTACTTCTCAAAACTTCTAACCACCTAAAATTAAAAAAAATTTTAAATAGTAAGAAATATATAAAAATAAAAAAGTAAAAATGTTTTACCTATTATATGTATGTATACTTTCAGCTCTAAAGAAATAAACATGATTTTTAAATGATAATTTGAAGACGAATTCTTTTTGGACTGCATCTTGATGATTTGGTGGACCAACTGAATATCCTAATAATGGTAAGCTAGCTAATGCAAAATCATCTTGATAACTTTTATAAAAATATAAACAGAATGATGTAAAAACCACCCATAATTTTTGCCAACCAGATGAATTTTTAAATTTTCTTAATAAATAACCGGATAATTCATTTTCAGCGGCCACGAGGTGATCTTTTAAGCCTACGGTTGCGCCACGATGCCAACAAACGTGTAGAGCGGTATTGCTCCGCGATGGTGGCGTTTTGTTTTGTAAAGTTCCTACTGTTGTTGTTTGTGTTGTGATTTGTTCGGCTGTATTTACTGTTGTTTGTTGTCCTGTTATTATCGATGATATATTGGCCCCATTCGTTAGATTCGTTGATGTTAAACCGCACAATTCGAGTCCCTCTTCGGATGAACCTAAAATATTTATTTTAATTTTATTAATAATTTAATAGTAAATAGTATATGCATATGAAATTATATATTAAACTAAATTTTAGTTTTTGGTGGATATAAATATGTACAATATTTTTGATTATTAAAATTGTATTACATAATATGTTTATATACCTATACTAACCTACATATATAAGTACATACATAATATTAAATTTCAATATGTATATGTATATCTATATCATAGTATTGCTACAAATTTTTTTTAAAATAGAATTGGAGTTCAAAAATAAGGAATTTATTATTAAGGTTTCAGAAAACTGAAAATATACACAAATATATTTTAATACTTTTGGAGCTGGTAGAATGTAATCTATATTTCTAGTAGACTAATGTTAGATCCAAAATATTACATATGTATATATTTTTACTATACTTATAACATTTATTCTAGCTTCGTTTTTATAACAAATTATCTATACAGAAGATATTGACACAGTTTCCCTTTAATATTAACTTACCGACTTTCGCAGTAGCATTGGTAGGTTTCTTTTCATGCCCAAAAATGAAAGATAAACGTTTCAGAAATCTTAATTTTGATTTAGGAAGATGATTTAAAATGTCTTTAAAAGAAGATATATAATATAGTAATAAAAATGCATAGGAATAAGAACTCATATTATGGGAAGACAAAGCTTCAAATCATTGGGATAACAAAATTATAACAAAAAAAAAAGTATTTAAATAAATTTTTTTCCCATTCTTGCAAAGACGAACAATTTTTGAATATTTTTTGTTTTAATTAGGTATTTTAATCTAGGAATCTTGAAAAGCAAGTAATTTAAAGCTGTTATATAACAAAAAATTAATACTCACTACAATTTTTCAATGATCCGATTGTTAAAGTTGTCGGTGGTTTATTTTTAATATCAGCTGCTGCTTTTGAAAGCTCTGCCAACCATAATGTTTTTTCAGCTGTTGTACCAGCGCTTACAGTTATCGCACTCTGTCCACCAAATATTGTAAATGTATTATGTTCAGCATTTTCAGTTAATAATGATCGAACTGGTACATGTCCTAATATTTTAAAATTTTGTGTCACTGGTGATTTTGTACCATATAATAAAATATCAGAAAATAAAAAGAACATTCTTTGTTGAAGTCCTCTCTTGGAATGTTTTAATAGACATCCTTGACGTATTAAATGTCGATCTTTTTGTACCAATGTACTAAAACCATTTATATCACGTTGTATTTCACATAATAAGACAAAAATTTCAGAATCCGGTAATACTTCGTGTACCTTTTCTGTTGTACGTCTTAACATATGTAAAACTCCATCACAATCTGCTTTATCTAAATGTTCATCTGTATAAAATTCACATAGTCCTGAAATACATTTAAGAAGAAATGAGTTTTTCTTTTTAATTAGAATTAAATTAAAAGTATGAGCTTACGTTCTAATATTAATTGATAATGAAGTAAACGATGTAATGGTTTTAATAATAAATATCCAATTGGTAGATAACATATTTTCTGTTGTTCGAAATTACGATATAATTGTTGAAATCTCGTATCAGTTTCGAATAATTCATTAAATAAATGTAAAATTTCGCTATGACTTTCAATATATTCATCGTAAATTGGCATTACAGCCATATTTCTTAGCATAACATCACCAATTCTATGAGTATCATGTGTACCACGTCCTTCCCATAAAACTAAACGATGTTCTAAATCACGTAAAAATATATTATGATGTTGAACCATTGAATCTAATAATTGAAATAAAGGTTGAAATTTTTCAGTATCATCAGTTGTTAACTCTTGACGGAACCATGTATTTAAAATATCCAAATCTTTTTTATATGTTCGTTCGGTCATTAATAATTCTTTGGCTAAAAAGTATGATTTTTCTGTAGGCCATTTCTATATAAAAAAAAAATAAAATAAACAAAAAAAAAACAGTAATGAAAAAAAAATACACTCTTTGTATAACAAAATAGCAAAACAAGAAAAAACAATTTAATATACCCTCTTCTTTGGTTCACCAGTTTCACTATTATTGTCATTATTTGCTATTATAACATTTCCATTTGTTATATACGGTTGTGATCTAGGTGATGAAATACTATTATTATTTGTATTATTATTGTTAATATTGTTCGTAGTGATATTATGATTGGTTGTATTCACATAAATGTTATTATTATTAGAACTGATATCATTTTCGGGTATCGTTTTATTATTTCGATTTTCAGCTTGTAATATATCATATGTTCCAGCTTCAGATCGTGACAATGATGATGATTTATCAGAGCCTAATGTTAAATCATAACGATTTGGTGTTGATGTAACTAATTCTCCACGACGATCAAGTGATATATTTCCATTGATACCATGATATTCTGTAAGTAGTATACACATTAATTGCAATAAAACTTTATTTTTATTCTGATTACAGTATGTGTATTTTTAATATATTTAATTTATATTTGTGATTCATTCAACTTTACTGATATTAAGAACTGAGAAATTTTTTGGGAGTGCTTTTCAAATTACAAGCATATATGCGATTTATTAATTTTTAAAATTCTTTTAAAAAAAATATCTCGAATTTTTGTTCTTTTATTGAAAGATTCGTTTTCGAAAGATTTGTTGACTCGAATACAAAATACATATATAACTTTTAATGTAGGGCCTAATGCGACTTTTATAAATTCTTAAGAAAGTTTTAATGAACAGACTTTTCGGCCGTTTGTTAATAGCATTTTCAAAAAATCCTTTTACAAAAATTCTAGCATTGAAAATTTTAGTTGTCTTGCTTATATTATTTTTCTTTTACATTCTCGCTCCTACATTCTAAATATAAGAATGTAAAAATATTAAGTATTGAAAAGGCAAATTTGAAAAGAGATTGTTAAAATTCGAAAATTCAACTTAAGGAAATCATATGTAATAATGCAACTTTTAATTAATTTTCAAAATGTCGAATAATATAGCGATATAGCGAAAAATAGACCACTACATAATTTCTGTCCATTTCCGGCAATTGCGACAAGTTGGGTTGAGGAATTTCCTAGCTGCATGCTTCCCTAACATCCGATTTCCAATGGTCGTATTTTGGCAACATATTTTTTGCCGTCACGCATGATAAATCCAAAGGGATAGTTGAGAAAAGTAATTAAACAAATTGATTCCAGTATAGATAGTTTTGTATATGTACATGGATAAATTTTTTATATTTAAATTTAAACGTAAGTATTTGTTCTTATATTATTTGCCTTGAGAATGGGGGTATTAGTTACCTAATTTAAATTTGATTGTATTCAGAAAAGAGGATTCGTATAATTGCCTTCATTTCAAGAAGACCATTTTGTTAGAGAAAATTTTCTTCAACACTTGTATTATTTGGTAAAGAAAACAAAAATAAAATTAATAAATAAATTCAAAATCTATTTAGATTATAATATTTATTTAAAATTTTTCATTTTTCAAATATATTTTAATTTGTTTTTTTTTTTTGGTTTTTTATTTTTTTTTAATAATATTAATATTAATAACTAACATTTGACTCAACTTTAATAATAATAAATTTTTGTTTTTTTTTTGCTTTTTATTTTGTTTTTTATTATTGTAATAATATAGTTTCTTAAAGTATAAATAATACTGAAAATATTAAATATTATTTTTTTTTTAATTAAATTATTTTGTGTCAGTTTATTTATTTTTTTTTAATTAATCTGTAATTAATATTAAATCTTGGTTTTGTTTTTGTTCTATTCTTTAAATAATTTCAAAAATACTTTTAACTTATTTTCTTCTTTTATTTTTTTAACCTATAATGTTTTCTTTTATTGTTATTTAACTAAATAATACTCATTTCATTTATTACAGAATTATTTATTTATTAAAATTTTTTAATACACATGTAGAGAATAAAAACAGAAATAATGTATGTTTACATATATGTATATATATATAATAAGTACGTATGTATTTTAGTAATTATATGAAAAATAAATATTTCTTTTTAATTTAATTGCTTTCTGGTTTAATTACAAAAATGTTGAGCAATATTTAATAAAGTTTAATGTATAATAATTTTTATTTATACATGATAAAATTTCATAAAATATTTAAATATACTTGTACAGCTCAAAACTGTCCTTATTCGAATTCTTTGCAGTTGAATGTATAACAAAAAATTTGTTTTTGGAATTATTCTAGAATTGAGGTTTTTTCAATTTCAAAATGGTTTCGGACTCTTTAAAAAAATGCGACGTAAAGAATTTATACATTGTATGTATCATTTTACGAGTCAACTAAGTTGATTTTAATCACTAAATAAAAAATTCAATTTCGATTATTTTTTAGTATAAATTTCAATAATAATTGATTTCTTCAATATTTTACATCTTGTGTTCACGGTTTTATAAAGTGTTATATGTACATAACATATTTTATCTTTTTCTAACAATAATTGCAAAAATTTTAGTTTCTAATTTATACGCTGCGAAAATTAGAAATTAACTTGAATTTTTTTTTTTGCCTCATCGTTTTCGATGTGATGGCAATATTGTAATTTTTTTTCTCTGTAACTGTTTATATGAACATAAAGAATGTTCTGTACCTGAGCAAAACAAAAAAAAATTATGAATTGTCAAATAGGTACATATTAAATTTTATAAGTATGTATGTAGGTAATTTACACATTATAATTAAATAGGCGAATAATGCGTATTAACAATAAATAATTTTTAACAATAAAATTTGTTTTTTTAAGTTTTGATTAAACAGTCAACAAAAATGTCTTCTCTGCCGTATTTGTGAGCATAATATGAAATTTAGTTAAATTAAGAGAGAAAAATTTAACAGTTTAAAAATTGTATTCAAAATTTTTGATTTTTATAAGTAAAATTCAGCTGTGCTGTAAAAACTAAAATTTTAAGAACACGCAAAGTATTTTATCAAGAAAAATAAGCTATATTTTAAGTACATCTATTTTATATTGTAATACTAGTCCTTAGATGCTTTTTGTCTTCTAGACGTTCTTCCTTGAAATTCAATTTTTTTTTCATAATAAATACATATAATATATAAATATTGTTATAAGGTTAACATTTAACAGTTTAAATAGATCTGGTCTGGTCAAATAGAAATAATGAATTTTGGAATATAGGAAAACAAAACAACATTAACGAAATTAACAAAAAGAAAAATTTAAAATAAATAACCTGTATGATTACTTTAAGTTTAATAATAAATTACATACTTTTATGTATAGTTTCTTATCTACTTTAAAAACCCTTAAATGAATGGCTAAGTAATAAACTTTTAAAAACTTAACTAAAAAATATTTTTGTTTTAAATTCTCACATAACCTACAACTTTTATTTTATAATATTATGTTATTCTTTCTTTTTATTCCATTTTCTAATTATAATTTTTAATTTATCTAAGTACGGCTTCTCTTTGTTTCCCACCCTTTTCATTTTTTTTTACTAGTTTCTTACATAGTTTTCTTTTTCTTTTGTAATTTAATTAGTATTATTTTTTAATTAATATTTTGATTACATTCTCTTTATATATTTTTTGGCAAATATGTTTTTATAATAGTCCTCCATTTTATCCTATTTTGGCATCTTTTTTTTTCTTTCATATTTTCTAAATTTCTAAGTCTCTTTGACATTATTCCGACTATTTTCATATGATTTATTTTTTTTGGTTATTTTAGTAATATACATTTACAGTATTTTTGATAAACCTAAAATTTTATTTTGTTTCATATTTTAGAAAATATTTTTTTCCGCAAATCCCTTCTAACAAGTTTATGTTAGAATTGAATTTTAAATCAATTTTGTGTTTATAATTGAGCAACAAAATGTTTGGCCAAATTAGGAAAATTTTTAAAAATTTAATTATTGGTATGAGCATAATCCAAATTGGTGACAAGATCATATTGCAATTTAATATTATTTTTGATGAATATATTAAAGAAATATAGAAGTACTGGTAACTAATATTAAATTGAGATAAAATTAAAATTAAAAAATATTTTGTTAATCAACCATATTCTGATTGTCGTATCACATAACGTGATGGATTGGTAATCAAAAATTTTGACATTTTCAGAGTAAAATCAATTTGGGAGTTTGAAATGTTATACTAAGAACTAAAATATTACGAAGTGATGTGATTACTAGAATATGGGTGAATAACAGAATATCTGGTTAAAGTTTATAAATATAACCGCGATATACGATACAATTATAATATTTTTTTAATTTTCCTTCAATTTTTTTTCCTTAATATGCTTTAATTTTTCTTCTTTATTAATGAGATATTCTTAATATATCATTTTTTTTTGGTTTTATTTTTAATACTTATACATAAAAATTTTGGCACTAAAATTTTGGCCTTATATTTATTAAATACATATTACTTTTTATAGGTATCGTCTTAGATTATTAATTATGTTCATAATGTATATATAATAATTATATAATCTATAAATAATACGTTGTTCATGTGTTTTTTTCAATTATTGTTATTTCTTTTTGTTGAAATCTTAATAATCAAAACAAAAAATAATAATAATTGTATTTGATAATAATTTTCCTTAAATATGAATTAATTTATGAATGTTGTATTTGTTTTGTTTTTCTTAAAAATATTAAATTTTTAAAAATTATTTATTTAAATAAATTTTAACAAGTTTTATTAATTTATTATTTTTCATAATTATTTAAAAATTAATTAATTAATTATTTTTATTATTTTCTTCTTTGTTCGGATTTATATAGTTATTCGATGCATAAACAATTTTTGCTTTATTAAATTATCAATTTATGAAAATTATTAAAACATTATTCGATATTTTCTTTTATATACACAATGTTTAAATAATTTTTCATAATTTTTTTTTTCAGTATAGTTTTACTGTGAATCATTTATAATCTCCCTTTTTTTCAATTAATGTTTAGGTCTTTTTTTCTTTTATTTATTTTCAATAAATAATTAATATTTCTGTAGTTTTGATGGTTTTTAATTTCATTGTTTCATTAATGTAGGCTTAAAAATAAATAATTCAGTCTTAATAAAATGTAAAACATTCACACATACAAAGTATTTTCACTAATATTATAATTCTACATAGTTAAAATAATAAGTGTTTCTGTGGTTCGTTAATGATTTAAAAAAAAAAGAAGACCAAATGGAAATTTTATTTCTAGAGCTAAAGAATTGGATTTGATGAGCAATTTGATTTTTAATATTTAATGATCATTAAAATATTATTCATTTTTTTATTCATATATACTACATTTATATTGTTATTTTTCACACGTTCCTGCAGATGGGTGAATTTAATCAATTGCATTTTAGTTTATTGGAAAAATCAATATTGAGGATCGTTAATAAAAATGATAAAATTACGAGATATAAGAAATGACATTCCTAAAAGTAAAACATTTTTTCCTCTTATGAAGTATCTTAAGTAGTATAAAGTTTTCCTCTTATTATAAACGCAATCAAACAAGTTTGAAGTCCATTCGTTTGAAATACATATTTGATATGTGAATGTCAAACGAATGAATTTCAAATTACTTTTTTTCTTTGCCGTTGTTCCTATATGACCATATGAACTTTGTCAAGTATATTTATAATATTTTAGAATTTTAACTGTATGTATATAAAATAGAAAGAATGTAATTATTATTACATTTAATTCCATACTCATGTTTTTAATATCATTACGTACTACTGTGCACAAGGAGCAGAAAAAACATAAAAAACATTTAAAAAAATGAGTTATGAGTTGAATTACAAACCTGAAATTATTGAACACGAGGAGTTTTATGAAATTTTTATTTTGACAACACTGTGATTTTCAAGTATCTCAACTTAATTATATTTACAAACATATAGCACTATTTTTTAAATAAATCTAAAATTTTTTTTCTACTTTTGGCTAAATTTTTTTTTTTTTGAAAAGTTACCATATTACTCAAAATTTTAAAATCCGTAATAGAGTAATAATTTACTTATTTTTTGTTTTCTTTTAAAAACTAATATAAATAAAATATTAAGAGTTACATTTTACTTTCCACTACCGCTTTCATCGGAATCATTTAAAAAATTTGGTGGTGGAACAACTGTAAAACTAAAATCACCATCACCAAACGGTCCACCTTCTTCATTTTCATAATCAGATAAGAAATCAGGATATGGTAGTTCTAAGCTTTCTTGTCTAACGTTACTTAACCGTCTTGCAGCTGTTGCGCTAATACCTGTAACAGCCGCAAAGCTATCTTCACTAGAACCGCCACCACCACATGGCTCATCAGAAAGACCAGCTTGCGTTTCTTCAATTCTTTTATATTGGTCGAAATAAGTGTTGGGATCCATTGATTCTTCACGTTTCAGTTGTCGCCTTCGTCTTTGTGGCTTAATTGGTTGTTGTTGTTGTTGTTGTTGTTGCGATATTTGTTGTGGTATTTGATATTGCTGCTGTGTATGTTGTCCTATTACATTATTTATTTCAGATGTAGCACGCTGTGTATACATAGGACTTGTTATATGTCCTAATCGGTCGTATCTGGGAAATCCCATTTCATCAACATTTTCTGACATATCGAGACTTTCAAATTTACCAGCATATGATGATGAAGATGGATACGCTGGGTAATCTTCGTAATCGTCAGTTTCGTTTTCTTGTTCCTCATCAAATTCTGGTGGTTCCCGTTTCGATGGATCAGAACTACCTGAATCATTAGCAGGAAAATAACCTTCTGAACATTCCGAACTTTCTTGTTCGGTAAGAACTCGTTCAGACTTTATTATACGTTTAGCAGGTACTTGTCTCTTTTTACGATAGCCACGTATTCTTAGCTTTGGATCTTGGCGAAAATCAACTGAACTATCGGTATCATTTCCACTAGGCGGACTTTTAACTGCTGGTGTTTTTGGTAAAGATGTTTTTCGTGGTGGTTTTTGTATCAATTGCATTGGTGGTGATTCCGAACTTAAACTACTCGAATAATATGGTGAACATTTTGCTAATTTATCTGGTCTTTGAGGCATTGGGGAAGAGTTATCTGTACTTGTTGACTTTTCACTATTTTGAGTTGTAGTAGTCGTTGAGCTACTTTCAGCAGGAGTTATTTGAGCGATTTCTTCATCAATTTTAGGACAGTCTGACCCTGAAGTTAATAAATGTTCGTGAAATGATTGTGATTGTCGAATTTTGCTGGATTTGTACTCACGTATTTGAGATTTGGATAAAGTTTTATCGTCATAGCTGTGGTGTTTAATTAGCGGCTTATCATAAGGGTTTGGTTCTCGGTGAACTTGCGGAACAACTTGTGGGGATTGCTTAATCTCAGTTGGTTGCATTGCATTGGGTTGATTAGCTTGCGTTTGCTGAAGTTGTTGTTGAGATTGTTGTTGCAATTGTTGTTGTTGGATCTGTTGTTGTTGCACTTTTTGTTGGGATACCGGTTGCTGCGTAATAGGTTGCTGAGTTTGTTGTTGTACTGGTCTTCCATTTACTGCGGTTTTTCTGGGTAAGGGTTGAAAAGGCAAAAACTCTTGACTTTGATACCTTTCCGAAAACTTTTCCGCTTGGGGGTATAAACGTTCAACGAAAGCTTCTCCTTCTGAAGATATATCTTGGCTCTGATATCTTTGTGACATCATTTCAAGGGATCGCCGTTTTCTTGACGATTCTTCTTGTTTCTGTTTTTCTTCAGCGGAACTTCCCCGAGACTGAGGTTGTGTTTTAAACGATCTTTCCGCGGCCTTTGGTGGAGCAGCTTTCTGTTTATCATTATCTTCGGGGCTATTTCCGTTGCTAGAAGAACCACGTTTGTGTATTCCCGGTAAATTTTCTTCTGTGGGGGATTGCTTTTTTGAAGTAGTTCTAGGGTGCTTTAATGGAACATATTCAATAGAACCACGATGCTTCGAAGCTGCAGCTCGACCACTGTCAAATGAAGCTTGCTGATGTGGTTGATGAGAATTTCCATCAATAGGTGGAACTCCAACAAGAGTTCTACTACTAGAGGTGGACCACTCCGTTATAGTTTGGGCCATTTCAGTTAAAGTTAAAGTAGTGTCGTCGCTTTTTGTCATCGATTCTGTAAATTTATCGGTTTCAGAACTTGAAAGAATGTCATAGCGAAGACCTTCAGATGAGCCATTGTCACCTGAAAATTTGTTTTTACTACTAGAAAAACTACAACTCTTCTCATTAAGACTCTCCGTTGACTTGTTAATTGAACTTATACTGGATTTAGTATGATTAGACTTTTCACTTTTCGGGCCACCTGAGTGATTTGATACAGCTGAAAGGCTGTCTGAACCTGATAAGTTAGCGTATTGTCGTACAGTGTTCGTACCAGTAGACCATTCAGAAATACTTAAACCAATTGAAGTATCTTCAGAGTGAGAACTATGAGTACATTTTTTCTGTTGTAATCCCATTCTAACGGTTCCATCCAAGTCAGTTCCTAAAGAACTTGTTTCTTCTTCTGAATGACTGGAGTGGCTGCATTTTTTGCAAGAACTTGTGCTGAGTCGTGGATCACTAATACGTCGAACAGTTGTCGCATCATCTAAGTATGTGCTGGCTGATAGTATATCGTCAATAGAAGTATCTGAATTGTTCGAACCTCTTGAAAATTTATTCGTAAATTCACCCGTTTTGCTATCATCCGGAGAAATTTCTATCTTTACAGTTCCAGGACTGAAAACATCATCGTTAGAAAATAAGTCGTCTTCAGAAATTGGACTTCGATTTTGTGGTGAACGTAAAGGTTGGGATATTATAACAGGCTCATGACCTGTTTCACGCATCATATTTTGGTTTTGAAGAGATTTTGTTGATGAACAACATGTTACATTACTGAATGATGTGGCAAGACTAATTGTTGAGCTCAAACATGTTGGTGTTTCATCGATTTGCTCTTGACTTGCCAAGGCTGTAGACATGAAATAAGCGGTTTTTTCATAGGGTAATACTTTTATATCAGTTGCTTGTTGTTTTAGCTCATGCTCCATTTCCATTTCTTCATCCATTTTGTCTTCGTCATGTGATTCACTCATTTCTTCAATCGTGTGATCAGTAGCAGTGTAAGATTCGACCATAATTTGGGTGGCACTTTCAGGTTCTCTCACAAAAAAGGTTTCAATACTTTCGATAATAGGTGTTGGAGTTCCTTCTTCAGCTGTGCTTGATGGAGGAGATGGCCAATCCTGAGAATCGTGACTTTGCAAACCGGGTCCAGGTTTCCAACAAAAAGTTTTAGGAACTGGTTTATCTAGATCTGGCATAACGTATATTGATTCAACGGGCTTAACAGGTACGTGGTCATATGGTATTTCCGGAAGGGGCCAGTCTTCTGAATCTTGACTGCCCCCTCCAGTTGATAAACATAGTATATTTTGTTTTTGTGTACCGTCTGGGTTCTCAATACCAATTTGAACTTCTGTTACTTGAGTTACTGAAAATCTTCCAGTTTTTACAGTAGGCGATTTAGGTTCACTACTACTGCAGAAACTCGAAAGTCTTTCACCAGTTGCTGAATCACACGGAATTTCTGGCATTTCTGCCGAAGTTCTGCGGTCAGCATCTGAAATATAAGCCAAATTGGTATTGCTTCGCGAATCTGAACTTAAACTGGCTTGATGGTCAGTTGATTGAACAGATTCATCGCGAATACTAGCTGAAGACGCTTTACTTAAATCATCATCCATACTTGATTTTTCAGAAGCAGTACTTCTTTCAGATATTCTAGATAAAGTGCGACCCAAAGAAAATGCTGAACTATATCCTAAAATATCCGTCGGGTTGACACCTATTGCACCTACGCCACCTGCCATAATTCCGGTTGGATAACCGAATGAATTAGGGAAATCATTCAGTTCATCCTGAAAACTTGAATCACTTTCTTTTTGATCTTCTGGTGAAATTTCTTTTACGTCGCTATCAGAAGAATCTTTTGTAACTTGGGGAATTGAATTATCAAAACTTTCATAGGTTTCGGCATCAGGATGTTGCCATGGTTCTTCTGTACTGGAGCTTCCAGAACTTTCAATTGGGAACGGTTTCCAAGTAACTTGTTGCTCCTTTTGAAGAAGCTCACCTCTTCGTTGTGCAGCGCCCAGTGAACCAGAACTACTTTCAGTTTCAAAAGAGCCGCGAGATTCTACGCTAAGAGACCCTTTGGAATCAAAACTTGACTTAGATTCTTGCGAACTGCCGCCATTTGATTTTTGAAGTTGAGGAGATAGTCCACCTTCTCTAACAAGTTTCTTATGTACACGTAAAGGTTTCACAATCTTCGGAAGCTTACCAGAACCGCCAGAGCTACCTGATTCACCACTAGAACCTCGTTCAAGTATTTGAGAGATTCTTTCTTCAATCTGCTCTTGGTCAAAATCGGTTGATACCCCCATATCAATAGAACTTTGTTTTTCTAATGTTGGCGTAGATACTTTCTTTGGAGGTTCTTCTTTTGTTTCTTTAAGTTCCTCAGTATTAAGTTTCAACATTTTTTCCCTTAGCTCTTGACATTTTTTTTCATCAACATCTCCAAAATCTTGAGAAATTCCCATTGGCCTTGAAATTGAACAACTTACACTAGACTCATCTTCCACAGAACTTTTTTCTCTAGCATTAGTAGCCAAACTCCATTCATGTCTTGTTTCTCTGGTTGTAAATATTTCTTTTTTTTCCACGTTTCCTTGTTGTTTATTCCTTTTTTCTTCATCTTGACGTCTTGCAAAATCTTCAATTGCTGATTTTTCCGCCATTGGACTTATATCTGGGGGAGTAATTAGTACTGGCGTTACTGATTCAGAATCTAAGGCCGTGTTAAATTCTGCATCAATCGTTTCTTGTGTTTCGAAAGCATTCCGATCTTTTTCTAACGTTCTAGGTTCTTCTGATCCTTCAGAACCAATATATTCTTCACATTCAACTGTCATCCAAGACGCGGTTTCATTGCTGCCGCTTCTTTCTAGACTCAATCTATTTGTATCTAATTTTGAAATTTTTAAATGGTCCATTTCATTTGAATCGTCATCCTCTTCTATAGACGGCTCTTCACATTCAATTGTTGGTACCCTGTGTTGAAAATCGTTTTTAGCACTGCGATAGTCACTTTGGTCTTCACTTTTTTGATCATCTCTTATGTGATCAGATGCCGTCGATATAACAGATTCATTTTCACTACCGGCTCGAGATTGCTTTCTGCTAGACATTCCTTCATCTTTCGTGTCTTCCGACGGAAGGGACTGACGTTTTAAAAGATCTAGCGATCGGCGTTCAGATATTACAGCTTGCATATCGATTTCCTCTACGACTTTTATCGCTGGTTGAGCATATGTTTTCTTATCCGTAATTATTCTTTTAGGCGACAAACTCGATGGACTACGTTCCCCTGCTTTGGGTTTAATAATTTTAATTTTAGTTTCTGGCGATCCTGGCTTCTTGTCATCAATTTTATCATCCAAACTGCGAGCTTTAACTTCAGCTGCGAGATAATGATGTTCAGTTTTACGTTCCAAGCTCTTGGATTTGCCTTCAATTTTTTTATGAACCACTGAGCCTTCAATTTTCTGTTTTATTTCTTGACTTTTTGCAATTTTTCTAGGAGATTTTATTACCATATCTTCTTGAGTATCTGATCTTTCAGAATCTTCAAAAGATTTATTCCGATCCTCAAAGCTACGACTGGCTTTTTCAATTTTTTCTTGGCTTCGACCTTCATCAAAACTTCTGCTAAACTTAACTAAAGAAGAGTCTAATTTTCTTGGGGATTTTGCAATTAAAACGTGATCTTCAGCTTTACTTTTAAATTCAGTTTCTATAATGATTTTATCACCTTCAGTTTTGACTGAAATTTTGTCTTCAGGAGCAGGGAATTGGGGTAATTGATCTTTTACTGGACTGAGCATTGTATTTTTCATAGCTGACTCATAAAGTTTTTGTTGTCGCTCCTTACGTTTTGCTACGTCAGCCTCAGTCTCTTCTTGGGATTTACTTTTGTCTCGACTTAAACGTCTTGATTCTCGTTCAATAGATTTAGGACGATCTTTTGATCCCGTTCTTCTACCATTTCTGAAATAATCTTCTGCATCTTTTGAACCCGGCTTAAGACCATCTAGTGTAGGTTTCTGGGGTTTACCGTTTTTAGATTTGGGGAGTTTACTAGATTCTGAAGTTTTTGGACTAGTTTTTTGTTTCCCACGACCTGTACTTTCAACACTGCTTGCTCTTGAAACACCGGGAGAAGTTTTACGTGAACTATTTGCAGAACTCCATGGAGATTTGTCAAATTTATAATTTGGAATATCTAAAATCAAATGATCACCACTACGTAATTTCATTTTTGACCTTTTTTTTTCTTTAATTTTAACGCCTTGTAAAGTAATTTTTTCTATAAACTGAAGTTGATTAAGTAAATCTTTTTCTTCTGAATCTATTAAGATTCCCAAAATTGAATCTCTTCTTTGTGGTGTTATACTAATTTTCGCAGATGGAATTGAGCCACCACATGAGTGAATACTGTCAGCATTTTCATCGTCTTGCACAGTCGTATTTTCTCTACTTAAAGGTTTTTCTTCTAAATATTCACCTTCCTCCTCTTCGAAACCAACTGTATCATCTTTCGAAGAAAAAGCATTCATTGGCGGTAATTTATGTAGAGATATAACAGGAGTATCTAAACTTTTCGTTCGTCTACCTCCTTCTGGTGATTCTTGAGTTGCCTTTTGTCTTTGAAGAGATGCAAATGCTGATCCTTCTGACAAATTTAACCGAGCGTGAGCGAAAAGAATTGGAGCATGACCCTTGGATCGCATAATTAAGGAAGAGTCTATTAACTCTTCAATCATTTTCGCTTTTGATTTAGGCACCTCATTAGGGTCATTTCGCATAGGGGAAACAACGTTTTTCTTTTTTAAAGTGTACGTTAAGTCACCCTCTGATATCTTATCTTCGTGACAAGTTTCGTAAACTTCATCATCAGTTCGTAAGAATTCTGCTGATTCAAGTATAGGTGATGGTATATTTTCATTCCTTTGATAATCTCCGGTGCATTCATCTCCGCGTTTGTTCGGGGTGTGAGGCTCGTCTTCAGAACTAGGAATGGAAATTGAACGCTCCGATATTCGCCTTAATTCGGTGGCATTTGCATATGGTGGGTCCAATTTTTGCTGATTATATCTAGCATCAAGTTCAGCTAAGCGGCGACATTGAGGTGGGGAACCTTCGATTTCAGTTGAACTCATTGTTTGGCCTCTTCCCCAAGCTGCTGAAATAATTTTGCTGTGTTCTATTTTTAGTATTGGTTCTATTTCTTTCCGAGACTGCGGAGGAGAAAATTCTAAGCGCGATGGAATAGCTTCGGCTGATCCAAAAACATCATCTGTATCAAGACTTTCATCGTCGGAAGAAAATGATGTTATACGTGTTTTACCTTTGTTTTTAGGTTTTCCAGGCTGCCGTGTTTTTGGTATTACTCTTGGTTTATTCAAACGTTTTGAAGGAACTTGAAGTTCCTTTTTAAGATTTTGAATTAATTCAATTTGCTTTTGTTCAAGTTTCTGCTTTTGTAAACTCTCAGTTCGAGAGCTAGTAGCTGAATCACTTTCAATTTGACTTAGTTTATTATTAAGCTTTTCAAGTAATTTAGGATCAATTTGTTTTGTAATATCACGACGAGATGGACTAGATATTTCAATTGTGGGACCCGATTTATCTACTTCCAATGTAACAGGATCAACTTTCGATAAATCTATGTTTTGGGTGAAAAGGAAACTTTGTTTTTCTTCTGGTTTCAAATTGTCGAGTATATCCGGCAATAAATCGACAGAAAGTAAATCAGATAATTCTCTTTTGGCTTCAACTTTTGGTGACTTGGGTGATTTAGGTGATTTTGGGCTTTTTGGTTTGGAATGTTTTTTCTCTCCCGGAGAGGGAGCTGTTCCATTCATAATATGCCGTTTGTGTAAAACGTAAGGAATATCTTCTTTTAAAATTTTCGTTGTACGTTTTTCATAATCGCGGAAAAAGCTTTTCGGCATTTCGAATCCGGTTTTTGGAATTTCAGTGGCTGTAACAGGAGCATCGTAATTTTTAGGTATTTCAAAGTGCCCGTGAGTCTTGCAAAGGGGCGGTGCGCTGGGAATCTGTTTATATATATAATCTTCATCACTAGAATCAGCTGGAGTCAAATCGATTGACTGTTGATGCATCAAAACATGGCGTCGGAAGTTACACCCCATCCTAGAACGGTTCGCCAAAGAATTTGGGTCACTTTTGGTTCGTTCAACAGTTGCATGCGGGTATGATAATGGAACGAGGACTCCACCAAGTGGTTTATTTGGATCAATGAGAACTTTTGGATTGTACTCTTCGAAATGAGTTTTCGCTATGAGTTCTTCTTTACGGGAAGTTTTCTTTACTTGGGCAGAGTGTTGTTGTTTATCAAATTCTGACATTAATTCTGGAGTTAAGGGGTATTCTGGACTACGCCTTGTTTTGTCATTGATAGCAGCCGATGGTTCAGGTATAGTTCCTGTTAATGACTCAATACGTTCTTGATCGAAGCTAAATATATTTTCACTATCAGATCGCCTTCTGAATGCCCTCATTTTGTCACCATGAGTATCACCAGTTGCTTCGATAGAGGAATATGTTTGGACTTCTTTCTCTTCACGTGATCTAATAGGTGCCGAATCTGGCGATTTTGAACCGAATGATTTAGCGTTGCGTTCGATTTCAACATTCTGTAAGCTAATAGAATGCACATTTGAAGTTTTATGAGTTTTATTACTTGGAAATGTCGAATAAGAATCTCGATTATCATAAAAGTCTCCTTTAACTTCCGAATTCAAATTATCATGGCTTTTCACTTTTGGTCGACTGTAGACGCCGTCGCTTTCATCTACAGCATCATAATAATCACTTTTAGATTCTTGGCTTGAACTTTTTTCAACGGTTTTTTTTGTTAAGTCTACAATTTTTTTACCTGTTGTAGCAGGCATTTCATAATTTTTCGTTAATCCCATAAAATCACCAATCAAAGATTCTTTAGATTCTTGACTTCTAGATTTTTTACTATCAGTATGATACAAACTATCTCGAGATTTTTTGCTAGAATCAGTGCTTCGGGATATTTTTGTTTCATATATGTCACTTCGGGATTCTTGACTTGATGTCCTTGAACCTAATGATTTTTTCACAAGTTTGTAAAAACTTCCATCTGATTTAACGCACAATTTTTCGCGTGGTAAATATCGCGGATCTTCAGAATCCCATATTTCATTCATGATATCTGCAGCTGATTTGGACTTTACATCAATTGCAGAACGATATTTTTGAACTTCAGAAATGCTTTCGTCATCACTTGGTATATAATTACCAGAATCTAAAGAACATGATCGGACATTTTCATCAGATTTCGCATGTTTTCTGTACAATTCCAAATCAATTTTCTCTAATAGTTCATAACTATCATGAGAAATATCGTCTTGCGAACCAGTATAATCGAAATGATGACCATATCCACGTTTGTTATGATGATCCACAGTATTATATGTACTCCCGGGATAGCTTGACGAATAGACTTTACTATCCGGGATAGAAGTAAAGTCTTGATAAGTATCAATTGAATGATTTTTCGTTATATACATAGAATGCCGTGAATCATCATAACGCGTTATAGGTGAATCAATTCGATCAAAAGACAAAAATTCTCTATCAAATGCCATTGGCTTTGGTTTCTCCCCCTCAAACGAAGAAAAGTCGAGCAGGTCTTTACAAGATGTGCTTTTCAGCCAAGATTCTTTATCTACGTGGTCGTAAATATTTTCTTCATATCCATTCTCCTTATAGCCGGGAATGGCAGAATACAAGTTTATACTTGACAATTCAAATTCTAATCGCTCAGAAGAATTTTTATGCTTATCTAATGGAGAAGATGATTCACTTCGATCCCGTTCTGACCTAATCTGTGTTTCTTTTGGTTTAACATTAGCGTATAAAGTGTAATTATTTGAATTATTTGGAGCCGGATTTGAAGCCCGACGCATATTACCCAGATAATGAGTTAAATAGTGGCTATCATAGGAATCTACTGAATCAACACCCGATAACTCTGAATTTCTAGGTAATGACTGAGTATTTCTTGGGTATGAATTTTGTTGTGATTCTAATGATTGTGATAAATAATTAGCTGAATGTGTTAAAGCGTTCTCAGCTTCAAATCGACTCATGTTACCATTACGCAGTGAACTTAATCCGAAATAATCAGAAGATGAATCTTCAGATTGATGGTTGAGTTCACTGCCATATTGGAAGTTATTATCATCATTTGAAAATTGATTCGTAAAATAATTTGTACCAGTTGAACGGCTAATATCGTTGCTTATGCCAATATTATTACGTTTCGACATAGTATATTGTACAATCTGTTCATCAATAAATTCATCACTTAAATGTTTTCCACGTGCTTTGGTTTTATTTTTGCGATTTACAGTAGCATATAGATCCCGTTCATTAAAAGTTGTACTTAAATTATTTTCGATTTTATTTGTAAATTGGTTTTCATAAATTTGTTTTTTATTGTTAGTGTTGCTAACATTATTATTATTAATAATTCCACTCTTAATACTACCGCCACCATTGCTACTTCCACTTGATTTTATTTGTTTATAGTGACCTAAATCATTAATATCTTGGTATATTATATTATCTGATTCTGTTTCAGTAGAAATATTATTTTGATTATTATTAAGCAAAGATTGTTTAGACATCGAATAACTGGTACTGCTATAAAGGGCTTGGATGGGTTCCCGTTGAATTTGCGGCTGTTGTGGTGTTTGGTGGTGCAATTGTCTGGATGCCGGTTGAGGTGCAATATTCTCCCCCCGATTGATGGTAGATTGTGTCAAGTCCGAATCCACTTCCTCCTCTACTAAGTCCTCCTCCTCCTCCTCCTCCTCCTCCTCCTCCAGGTATTCCTCCTCCTGGTATTGATAGTCCGATTCCATAGAGTTGTTGAGATCCACCAAAATTGGAGTGTTGGTGCATTTGGTGTGAGTGGTGATTGTGTTGTTGTTGCTGGTGGTGATAGTGAGGTGTGGTGCCTGTTCCCGGTGGAGCATTAGAGGTGACGACACAGGGACATATACCTGAGATCCCACTGAGACTCGACGCGGGGTACTGTTGTACGAGAGGGATAAGAGGCTCGGACCTAAAAAAAAATTATTTAATTATTATCTAAATATTATTTTTTAATATGTGTTTGTAATAATAAACGAAAACTAAATTTCGATAGTAAGTAAATGGAGCAAGTAAGCTAAGAATCAGTGTTTCTTTCCTAAAAACAAAAAAGCTATCTTTTTAGTCTAATGACATTTTTAGTCTAATAACATTATATTTATTTCAAATACGTTTAAAATATTTTATTCTTAAAATTGTCAAAACCAGTTGATTAATTTTCTTGTCTGGCTTAATCAAAGCAAAATAGCATCCTTTGAACAAGAAGGGGGTAACAAAATTTTGAAAAATATTTTTTTAATTATTTTCGAAGTTTTGAAAAAAATTTTACAAATTGCTAGAAAGTACAACATTGAAAGGCCTTCCCCTTAGGAAGAATTTTGACGCGTTTCACAATGATTTTTAGCATTACTCTTTCTTAATGGCTTCTAAATTAAAATAATAAAATTAAAAAAGTTTGAATACTAACGTGCAACGTTTTGTGTTTTGGTAACATAAAATTTACAAAATTCAAGCGCTCTTTAAATAAAAATAAATTATATTTGGACATCACTGCATTTTCAAAATTACACTTTGTGTTGATTTTTTAAATATTTTTTTTTTTGTCAAGACTTTAAAAACAATAATTTTCACTCATGCACTATACAAAAAAATAAAATATATATTTCTTAAGCACATTTTTTCTTAAAGAAAACAATAACATAAAATAAAAAACAATATGGTTGTAACCATGCCCCGAATATGTCGAACGTAAATAAATCAAAAGTATAAGTAAAAAATATGATAATAAATATAAAAGTATTTCTAAAAAATTAGAAATGAAGTTATTCTGTAAACTATAAAATATAATGTAATTATAAAAATATTAAGAAAAAATAATCAAAATTAAAATTTCATCAGTAATGATTTATTTGTCATTTATTTATTATATATGTATGTATATTGAATGTAATATTTAATAAACAATACCTGAACTGTGACCTCCTTGAAGCGCACGACCCCGATCTTGACCTCGCATACTGTTGTTGTTGTTGCTGCTGCTGATGGATGTTGTTAGATGACTGGGGGAATTCCATGACGCTGTTCGCATTTGATCCGGCGATACAGAGCGATTCGAAATGTTGCTCGATGATTCCATAACCCCCACTCCCGATTGGTGTTGCTGTCCCACCGCCCCCGATGCTCCCACTGCAACCGATGCTGGGGATTCCCGCGCATAATTCTTCGTCTGATAAATCTCCACCTGGGCTGCTGTGACCTTTTTGTTTGAAAAAAAAAATTATTATTTTTCATATTTGAACGTGCTCTTACAGTCCTGTATATTCAAAAAAAGGAACATTTATATTTTAAAATTTTTTGCCAAATTTCACCAAATATATTTGTTTTTTTTTTTCGGAATAATAGTACAGCTTACAACAAGTTTGATCGAATATAAAATAATATTGGAATATTAGAAATAGTAATAAAAAACAAAATAAAAAAGTTTAAGTATATCCGAAATCGAAATCAAAATAGTATTTCATTAAGTAACTGTTTGATATTCACTTACTTGAGATCGCATGTGGTCGATAGGATTGTCTTGTCGGCGATCCAAGGTACCCGCTTCCTTCTTCGTCTGAGAAGGCATCGTCGAGCCTGTGCATTGATTGCGATAATCCCAGTCCGCTGCTTTAAAAAAGAAAAATTAAATAGAGTAGAAAATTAGTAAAAGTGTTTAAATTTCTTTTACAACAAAATATAAAAAAATTATCAAAATATAAAAAATATTTTACTAAATAAGATCAAGCTAAAGTTAAAATATAAAAAATAAATATAGGTAAACATTATGTATAAAGTGTGTATCAATACATATGTATATGTATACATATATTTTAACTTAATATATCTATGCATATACATACATATATTATGTATATATTGTCTTAGAATTATTAGAAAAAATTAAATTTTTCATGTTTTATATCAAAATATTTCTATATAACTACATTATATATATATTTAATTTTCGAAAAAGAACTTAAAAAGAACAGAAATAAAATTTTAAATAAATTAAAAAATAATTTAAATTAAAATTTAATATATTTATACTTGTATAATATACATACATATCTTTAATATTATATTCATAACTTATAAAATAGAAACTAAAAATAAAAAAGAAAACATAAAAAACTTATAAAATACAAACCAGTGTCAATTGGTAGGAGGGGATTAGCTGAAATGCTGGAATTCACGTAGTTATGCGATTGACTTCGGCTACTCGCGTGTAGAGGACCTTGACGGAATGATTGAGACCTGCAGGCAAAAGAAAAGACAAGAGGATCCCAGTTTAAAATTATAACCAAAAAAAATAAATACAAAAACATAATAGTTTTTTTTCTTCTTTTACGTGAAAATATAATTAAAAAACAATAATATAAAAAAATATTTAAATAAAAAATATAAATTAAAAAAAAATATATATGTATATATATATATATTTAGAATACAAATTATAATAAAATAAAAATATTATATCTGAAATACTGAAAATCGTGATTTAATTAAAATGAAAATTTGATTTAATTTAAAACTAGATAAGAAAGAAGTGAAAGCTGATTTGATTATGAAGTCAAAACAAAAATTCAAGATTTTTTAATGCCTTTTATTTTTCAACTGAAGTTTTTTTTAAATTATTATTGAAAATTAAGAATTTTACATATAAAATATTCATCACATTTTCTTTATATATATACAACTACTAATAATTTTAAATATTAATTAATATATAATTAATTAAAATTATTATTTTCGTCATTCATTAATAAATAAATTTATTTAAAAAAAAATTACAAATATAATTTAATTAAAAAAAAAATAAACAAAATTAAAAAACCAATTTAAAAAAATTATTAATTTTATTTTATTAGTATTTGTATTTATTTTAAAAATTTGTTTATTTCAAATATTTTACTTATTTTTGTTTAATTTTCCGAATATTTCATAAATAAAAGCAAATTCTCTATTATACACCCTACATATTTTAATGACAAAACAACAAAACTATTTAATATTAATGTATGTATGTATGTACGAATGTATAGATAAATTTAATTTAAATTCAATTTATTGTGCTTCGAAATATTTTTTAATTTCCTTTTTAATTTTAAATTTACTTTTAATTTTTAATATTTTTTAATTTTAATTTTCATTAATTTTTTTTTTCTTAATTAAATTAATTTTATTAATTGTTATCTTAAATTTTTTTTTAACATCAATTTAAGTCTAACTATAAAATATAAAGAGTATAAATTAGACAAAAAAAAATCAAAATATCGATAAAATTATGATTGAATGATTGAAAAATTAAATTCGTCTAAGCATAAGTGTTTATTAAATTGAAAAACAAAAATAAAAATAATTAAGTTATATAATGTGGTATATTACAGTTTTAGGAACGATTAAGATAAATGCCAAATGGTGAAGTATTTGAAGTGAATATGAGAAATTTGTATATAGGAAGAAGAAATTTTTAGTTTGTGAGTTAGGGATGAAAATTTCAACTTAATATTAAAATTCATTAAAAACTATTATATTTTAAATTAAACTATATTTTATTATTAATCAAATAATATCATTTTATGTTTTATACATATTAAAAATTTTATATTAATTTTTATTTAATTAAATTTAACATTTAAATTACAATTTTCTTATTTCTTTATAAATATGAAATGATTATGACATTTAAATACCATCAATAACAAATTCTCTTATAAAACACCATAATAGTAAAAATATTATGTATTTTTGAATAAAGTTAATATTTCCAGCTAAATCTTCACACATAATTAAAACAGGACTCCGAACTTTAGATCATACATATTCGAAAACGATAAAACAATACTAGATAACTGTATAGCACGATGAAAAGTGAAATGGAAAAAGTTCGACGGTAAGTGAAATTTTATGAATAACAATCAACTAAAATGTAAATTTTGTCTATAATATATGTAGCTGCATAATTAAAATTGAAATCTTAAGCATTACGACTGATCCAACTTTTGTAATTTTCATAAATAATGAAATTTATGTGCGATCATCGTATTATGCTTAACAAGCCTCTAACAAAGATAAACAAAAAATTTTTTTTTTGAATGAGTGTATGGTCTCTTTCAGCCTTTTACTAATTATTTTTGTTTGTTTTCTTTTTATGCACATATGAAATTCTTCACACTAAATCCTTTTTTCTCCTTCATTCTAAACAGAAAGAAATATTAAAACAAAACATTTCAAGGTAACTTGTGAATAATTTATGTATAGTTTTAATTTATACATATAACACAATGTAAATTAAGAATGAAACATTTAGAAATGTTAATTACTTGCAAGCATGAATCATTTAACAATATAACAATATATTAATTATGTATGTTCTGAGCAAATAATATTATATAAAGTGGCAGGCAATGTTAAAACCAGAAATGAATTTTGACGTAAGACAAATGGTTAACGGTATTTTATGAAGGTATTACAATAGAAATTTCTGCTTCAATGAAAACGAAAGGCAAATAATCATGGAATTTTAAATAGTTTTACAGTTCGTCTTTCTGTTTCGGCTCATTCGAAATAGGGAAGAATGGTGAAATGAATTGAAGAAGAGTATACCTGTTAAATATAAATCACATTAATCGCTATTGAAATAATTCTCTCTTTCAAGCTGAAAGCATAACAAGAGCGATTTTCTTGGGAGAAATGTCAAAATTCATAAAAAATATAGATTATATAAATGAGACTGCTCATAGAATCAAGCGAAATTACCACCGAGAATTTAACCATTGGCGGTAAAATAACTTTACCTTTTTCTTTTTTAAGATGAGTAATGGATGACATTTTATGTTTTGCTGAAAAATTTGATTCTTAATGGAGGTATCTTACTAACAACTTATACTTGATAAAAAATACAACGTAATATAATTTATGATTGATTTTGTTCAATAAATTTTTATAAATATTTTAGTTTATCAAACTCTTTCTCTTTCTCTTTCTCTCTCTTATATTCAATTAAACCTGGTAATTATACTAAATCTACATAAACTAATATTATACGGTCAGTTTTATACTGATGGGAATCTAATGTAGTACATCATAAATTTTTTTTTAAAGGAAATGAAAAAAGACTATCAAGTGAAAATTTTAAATATAGAAAATTTATGGTTATAAAAATTTTTTACAATACGACAAATAAATATAGAGCAACTTATAATAATCCTTATAATATTAATAATTTTAATGTAATAAATCAATTTAGTTTAATAACCTAGAATATTTTTTTGCAATATTATGTAAAGATGAAAGAATAGAATAACAAATATGCATGTATGTTCACTTTTTTCTTGTAATAAAAACACCATAAAAATTAGAAAATTTAATATAAAATAAATTTCATTTAAAAAGATTAAAATTTATGAAACACTTGAGGGTATAAAAGGAAAAAAGAACCACCAAAGCAACTGTTTAAATATCTAGAGCGGGAAAGAATAATAAATTTTCTTATGCTTTTATCCTTGTGTTTTGCTATTTTTTTCTTTTTTTTTTTAATTTTTCCTTTTTATATTATGTAGAAACTTTTGCTTTCTTTAAAATAACGATACTTAAATTTCTGAATGGGTGCTTTTTGTTTTTGTTTTTTATATATACCAAAGGATACGCATATCAAATACATACACAAACACACATGTTTATAGCTAATAATGTTTTTTTTTTTAAAAAAACTGTAAAATTTTTTTCACAATTATGTTATACTTTTCATAAAACTTTCATAAAATACGTAGTAGAATAGTTATTATCCTTGAACTGTTATGAACCGAAGAAAAAAAAGAAATTAAAAAAAAAATGCATTTTACGGTAATTTTCTTTTTCATGTTTTTTTTTTTTTTTTGTATTTTGTTTAAGTTTCATTTGCGAATTTCTAAAAATTTATATTTTCCCTTGTGCAATACAAATATGTGTATATGTGAGTGAGTGAATATTTTCACACTTTAAAGATGCTTGTCATTGCCATTGTACATGCATAATATTCTAACCTTTGCTATATTTGATATAATTAAATTCTTTAAGTAATTTTCTTATGTCATAGAAGATTAAGTAATAAGCAACATAAAAAGTCATTTTATACATATGGAATCTAATACAACTAGAATATATTAGTATGTCGTCTCATGTAATATGTATTTTCATAAAAAGGGAGTCATACATAGTTAAATTATTGACATATTCAGTTTAAAAGTTTTACTTAAAACATATACATATCTACTTAGTTTAATTTAAAATTAAAAAAAAGGATAACGATAAGAATTTAGAGCTTTTTTTTGAGTACAAAACATAAAAGACAACATGGTTGCAATTTTTGTAAGGATTTTAGAAGATATACGAAAATGTGACATGAAATATTTAATGAAAGAAATATATTTAATGAAACTGTGAAAGTTTTGATAAAAGTAGAGTCTATTTTAATTTATATTTGCCCTCATTATACCTATAATGTAAATGAATATTAAAGTATGTATTTATTGGAGCAAGTTATAGGCAAAACTTTATTAAATATTATAATTTTGCGTTGCATTCTATTCCATAATATTTTCCGACATTTTATTTTTCCCCTATGAAATGTACTATATACTTATATATATATATATAAATATATATATATATATATATATATATATATATATATATATATACTTAGTATGTATATATATGCAGATATATAACTTAAAGTGAATAATTTTAAGGTTTTTTTTTTGTTTTTTCTCTTTAGAGTGCATATTATAATTATATGACATGAAATAAAATGGAAATTTTTTTATCTCATAATATTGTAGTGATAATTTTATCCTTTTAAAAGTCCTATATTATACACACATATACACATAAATATTTAATATTAAAAGTGGATTATTCATTTAAAAATGCTCTTATTTTTAGCTCTTATGAAATTTTATTAAGTCTCAAGGTTATCCTTGAAAATAAAATTAGAACAATTTAAATATAGTTAATATATATATATATATATATATATATATATATATATATATATATATATATATATTTATATGTTTACATATATGTATATTATATATTTTTAATTATATATTATTATAAGAAAATTTGAAGTTTTTATCAAATTTATTTTCAATTATTTAAATAAAATTTAATATGATAAGGTAATAATTTTATATTTTATAATTAATAAATTTTTTTTTCTAATTAAAATGTTTTCGAGATTCGAGAACAGGGAAACAAAATATTTCAAT